GTCAGGGATGATGAAAGGTTGGTACATAAGATTAGATTTATTGAATCAATTAACCCACATTAGCCTAATGGACCCTAATTGACATCTGGTTGATGGGCCCTCCTCCAGCTTCCAGAGGGCAAGCAAATACAGAGGTCCCTTAGCTTGCTGGGACTGGAGGAGTTTCTGTAACAATTTTTTTGGAGCTGTTTAACACATCGCTGAAGTGGAGCTCCTGCCTGCTACTCCTCCTGGCAGCAGAGTGCTGGGCTGTGAGTGCAATGACATTTTTTCCCACAAGACCTTTTGTACTTCTCCCTTTTGCATTACCAAAAGTATTGACTTACTAATTTCTAACTTCTGTGTCAAGGGGCACGTGATTGGTATAGTTCTTTTCAGCACGCACAGGAACTCCACACAGGTTACTGAAATTTCACCTAGTAACACAAGAAGCACTTAGAACTAAATTAAAATAATTAAATACTGTGCACAACTTCCTGCCTCAGTTTTATAACACTGCTAGCTGCACTCTTTGCTCTGAAATCAAGATGTGTTAAGCTTATCCCAAATCATCCTATTGTTCCTGTTTTCTCTTGTGGCCCATGGTGTAATTCCAGGTTTGGTGGTTTGTTTTTTCCCCTTTCTGAACTTTGTTGATCCAAGCCCAGCTAGGCCTACGTGTGGAAACTTGTCCATCCACCTCTTCTTCTCTCTGTTGCTATGAGAGCCTATTTTTCATATCCTCCCAGAGGTGTCTTACTTTCTTTTCTCTCTCTCTGATAATCTTTCAGTTTCAAGGGCAAGCCTCCCGAGGTCTGGAACAAAAGGCTAGAACCCTCTGCTTTGGGAACCTCAAAGACATCTATTTAGACTTCATGACTAAGCACCATCCTTGATCTAGGAGAAATATACATAGCTTTGCCATCAGTTCTAAGACCCCATAATAATTTAGAGTATTCTTTAACACTGTAATTTTTCTTACAGCAACAAATTGTGCATGAATATTAATTTATTTGTAGGAAAATTCATATCTTTGCAGAAACAAAGAAATTGAGAAGACTTATGAGTCATTGAAATCAAGAAGTTGTGGATACAGGAGTAACCATTAGGAGTGCAAGGAATAATGGGCACAAACTGAAAGAGGGGAAATTTAAGCTAGATGTTAGGAAGCAATTCTTTATTGTGAGGGTGGTGAGATACCAGAACAGGTTGCCCAGGGAAGTTGTGGATGCCCCAACTCTGGCAGTGTTCAAGGCGAGGTTCATGGGGCTTTGAGCAACCTGGTTTAGCAGGAGGTGTCCCAGTCTAAGGCAAGGGGATTGGGACTAGGTGACCTTTAAGGTCCCTTCCAACCCTTAACATTCTATGATTCTATGATCAGTGCTCTACTACCAGAGCTAACTGCATCACATAATGCCTGGCGCTATTTTTCTGCCCCAAGTCCTCGTTCTCCTGTAACACATGCATGCTCTAGCTTTACAACACTTTATTATTCTGCAAAAATACTACTTCTGTGTGTACTTGAGGCCTACCATTACAGCAGACTTGGGGTACTCCTTGGCATTTTATGCTTTAGAATAGATTCCCAGATTTTCTACACTCAAATGAAAGCTCAAAGACCTTTCTGTTTTTAATGGACAGTTTATTCAAAGAAGGTTTTACAGAAAACATTCTGTATTTTCTTCATTGTTCTTTTCCCCAGACTGGAAGAAAAATAATCCTGACTGAAAATGATGTTTTCCTTTCTGCGAATTGAACACTTACAAAGATTAACTAGAGACTATCAAAACAGGTAGACTGAAAGAATCAAAATGTGACAGCAAATAAAAGAATCTGCCAGAGAATTTATGACTCTTGATTTTGCTCAGAGTATTATTTACAGACAGCTGATAATGGATTTTAGAGAAAACAGCTTGCTAAGAAAACAGTGCCAAAACAAGCTCCTGTCTAAGACCATGACTTGGGAAATCAGAGTATTTCCTTTCCTACCCTGACACTCTCTGTGGGAGGCCTGTCAGAGTATGACATGATCACAATCTAGGTATAGATAATAGCTTTATATAGGAAAGACAGTACAACAGAGGGCTGTACACGAAAAACAGATTATTGCTCCACTTCAGATATATCAACAGTGGAAGGTAAGTAGAGTTCATTGCTGTTCTTGTACTTGCCCAGAAAAATACCAGCAGAGAAAGGGTGGAAGGAAAGTGTTTGCTGAGGGAGGGGTAATTGCCTACATTGTTAAGTTGTGTGTGTACTGCAAAAAGTCCACAGGGGCAATTATTGAGATGTACACATCGGAAAAATGGGGCTGACTCATCCTTCCAGTTTTGCATCACAGAGTCCTAGTGAGGTCAGTGGTGTCAGAAATAAACTTGCTTACAATTATAGCAAAACTGACTCCTTTCTAAGCCCCCCCCCCCCCGAAAAAAAAAAACAACCTTCTCAAAATACAGGTTTGCCAAGTACAGCAATGTTTTAGCTCATGGGAAATGCATTCAGAGTTATCCAGGTTTGAAGTAACATGCTTAACAGTCCCATTGTTCCATGGAAAGCTTCTCTGCACTTTACCACATCAAAAAACGTATTTATTAAGCAGTCGATCATATTGGTACCCAATTCAAGACAAATAATTCCACAAACTTGAAGCTAAGGCCTCTCATTAGCTATTTGGATCACTCCTTGAAACTGTCAGTGCAAGCGTTCTGAGGGTAAAGAGATTCTCTTGCACAGATATCAAGAAAAAGAAAATCAAAGAAAATTATCAATAACGAGAAGAGAGGTAAAGAGGGTAACAAGAGTGAAAAGTAGAAGGGCAAAGTGAATGTAGAAAAGCAACAACGAAGGAAGTAAAACCAAGCTGCAGAGAAAAGACAGTCCAGGGTAGAAAAAAGATGCAAAAAACCAATTTAAAAAAAAACAAAGCAGCAGTCCAATTACAGAAGTTCCCTGTTGGTCAAGACAAGATTGCTGACAATTTCCTGCACTTTGAATCCTGCTGGTCACTTTATATTAGTACAGAAACTCAGAGGAATGACATCATTTTTGGAAAATTAAAAAGGCAAGAGATATTTAACATCTGAAAGAGGGAAATGCCCTGAGAAAGAAAACACATCATTAAAGCTGCCCAAATGAACATGGATAAGAGCACATTTGTAAAAACTTTAAACAACAGAAAAAAACAAAACCAAAAACAAAACCCCAAATAAACAACAACCCCCCCAAACAAACAAACAAAAAACCAAAACCAGGGTAAAAAATAGATTTAAACCTCCTAAATTGGATTACAATAAAACAAATTGCCTCTCCTAATTAGGTGTATTTAGGCAAGGTTGAAGAAACAGAGATAACCACATACAATGAAAATATTAAAGTACATGTAATTTTTGTAAACAAAGTTTAACAGGAATTTACTTACACAGGTAGACAATCCTTTTAAACTCTTGAAAGATATCAACTGATATAATACACACACATTTCCAGCTTTATATATCTCACTTCTTTCAGTCTTGGAACTGATTTGTACAAGATGGAAATTCCTATTCTCTGTAAGATAGCTCTGGGAACCTGTATTTCTTCTTTTTGATGGGACCCTGCTTTGTTGCTGAGTCCACCGGAAAGAACAAACTGTACCACAAGGCACCAACATGATTAACAGGTGTCGAGGTAGCGCTGAACCCGGAAGCAGCGTTAACCCTGGCATGCAACTCCCTGCTGCAATCACACCTTCTAATACATCAGCTTTGCACAACCTCAAACTCACTCAGAAACGTATGATGGAGCAAAACAGAACAAGAACACAAAGAAGTTCAAGGAAAACTTGTACAGACTGAAGGAGTTTCCTTTTCTGAGCTGTAGCTGCACGTTCCAGTGAAGAATTTGTCAGTCAGTCAAGGAAAAGTATATTCCGGATGCAGAGAGAGAGGTTATGAGAGATTAGCCTCAGGGGCCACAGGCCCCAAATGACAATGGCAATTTCTTGTTGAAGCAGTCAGAAATTTCGCAGAATGTAGTGAGAAAGTCTTAATCCTTTGACAGGACAATGAGAAGGTTAAAAGGCAAGTGGAGAAATGAAGGATTTATATCAGGCTTTGTACAAAAATCAAATGGTAATAAATACGTTTTGTCAGCTGTGTTAGAATCATAGTCATGACAGTTAAGTATATGACAACTGAAGAAAAGGACAAGAAAAAAAGGAAAGTAATTTATTCAGGAACAGAGGAATTAATAAAATCTGATTTTCTAATAATTGCTGTCTCCTGTTCCTCCCTTCCCTGCACCTGCAGTAAACATACATTACTGCCAGGTCCAAAACACACCTGGGGAATGCCCTGGAATTTCCCCTCCTGCTTTTCTTTCCAACTTGTGCTGGGCAGAGGGATGAGAGCTGAATTCTCCTGTTTCTCCCTTCTGAAGAGAACTGATGGGGTTATCTTGTCCTTCCCCATCCAAACATCTCCCTTCATGAAGTTTGCAGAAGTCGGTCATCTCTGAAGCGTTCCACCCCACTGTGGCTGAACTAGGTCATTAAAAATTAACAGGAGAGCTTGGTGGAGAGAGACCAACGCAATCATTTTCTTTCCTTCAGTGAGACTAAGGAAGAAAAACTAATTACCGGGGTAATTTTTGGTGTAGAATGCTGAGAAGGAAAAGCTCAGAAAATACTCAGGGGTACAAAACAATATTAAAAAGTGACAAATTGACAACTCTGGCTCAAGTATTATATTCAGCTTATGCGGTTGCAAAAAAAAAAAAGGGAGTAAATAAACAGATCATATGAAGAGATAAGCAGTTAAATTATAAAATAGTTGTTATAAAAATATATATTTTTTACATTTATATATTTAAGTTGTTTAATATATTTATACATTTAAGTTGTTATATGTTATAAATATAAAACTTATAAAATAAATTCTAAAATTAAATTATAAAAATAGTGCAATTTAGGGTTAAAATCCCTCAACCTGGAGTTCAAAAGCATACGAGTGGGCACAAGGCAAGTCCGTGCCTACAGCACAGGACACGAAACTGGGCCACGTCTCTTCTCCCTCGTAACCCAGTGGTGCTCAGCAAAACCAGTTTTCTCTGCATAACAAACTATGGCAGCAAATGCAGTTTAACACAATGAATTAGGTAACCCGGGGAACTTAGAAGCGGAAGGAAGCTGAGTAGAGCCCTCGGCCACGGGGGGGTGAAACCGCTATCGGGTGGTGAAGCAGCCACCCATTTCTGAACGCGACCGGTTGTTTCCGCCGGTTTTCCTCGGGCTCCTGCCGGGATCAGCACCTCTCCCGGCCCCTGTGCCCTGACCGCCGGTCTCCGACGTCCCCCGAGCCCCTCCCGCCTCGCCGCCCGGCGGCCCTTGGCCGGCGATCCCCGCGCGGGGGAGGCACGGCCATGGCTGCGCCCTGAGGAGGGGCGGCCCTGTCGGTGCAGCAGGTGCAGTAAGGCCTCCGACTGCATTCACAAACCGAGGATCTGTGCTGCAGATGAACACTGCAGTGGTTTATTTTATAAAATTCTGCAAGCAAGCGTTCTGATTCTCAGTGATTAGCTTTGAACGTCTACCCATTAGTAACCTGTTCTTCCTAAGTAAAAATGAGCCAAATGAAATAACGTATTGATCGGCGATCCCACGAGAAATCCCTTAGTATTGTTTCATCAACGGGAATTAAATTAAAATGAAGATAAGACAATTCACTTTTTTTTCTCTCCCCTCTAGTTCTTCACTTTTGCCTAAAATGGCCAAGCAAAATTCTCCATCACTGGTTGAAGTTGTAAAAGAAGTTGAAGAGCGGCAGCATTTGCAGGCATCAGAGATAGAAAAAAGCAAAACCATTCTTTTCCAATTGCAGGTAATAAGCCTTGTTTAGAGTAGTTTAATAATTTTTTTCTTTAGATGAAAGAAGTTAGGTGAAGAAGTGTTCCTATGAAAAAGAGAAGCTGATAGTAAAATTTTTTTCTGGGCAAGTGCAACTGTAAGGCAGATACTCAGATACATTTAGGCTTAGTCAAAACTGTGGATGCGCGCTATTCTTTGTAAGGCCACAACAGAGCAAAGACTTCATTAGAGCAGGTGAAACTTTTGGGTTTTACTTGGAAAAAAACCCACAAAAAATCCCCAACAAATACTGAGCTGAACACACAAAGCAAATCCACAACAACTAAATGCAAAGTGAGGTCTTTTAAAATTATTTTTTATAGTGATTTCCTAAGATATGTGGTGGGGGAGAGGAGGAGGGCGGGCAAGGAAGGATTTTAAAACCATTTTGTTTTTTTTCTTTTTGGCAGAATTTCACCAGACTATATAATCTTTTTGACACGAAATGCCTTTTTTTTAAATGTGTGTTTGAAGTGGATATCCTAAATAGTCATTAAATACTGTCTTTATTCAGTACTGTTAAGTAGAACACTGCAAGAAGTTTTCTTCCCATAATATAGTAAACACTGCAACAAAAATTATTGTCACCACACAATTTAAACAAAGGCATCTGTTTTCAAAAAGGCCCACAGAACTTTAGAGCCCTGGGTAATTAAGTTAGTTCATTTATTGTTTCCTCTTTTATACCTATTTCTTTTTCTTTCAAAAAAGACCAAACCCTGGGAAATTTCATACAAACATTAATGTTAGAACAGCAAAATTAAATAATTAGGAACTTTTAATCAAAATGCAGAACTGCTTTTTCATCTTTACATCAATTCCCATGTGTACATGTCACAGAAGACATGGAAAACAATAATTTCCTTTCCAAAATTTAACAGCTTTGCCACTAAGATCCCTTGCTTTCCTATCCTCAGTAAAAGGTGGCTGGCAGTGATAAAATCCTGTAAAACTGTAGCCCAGGATTTCTAAATTAAAGTCTGCAGGAACTTTTGTTCTTAACAGTTAATAATGTCTTAATCTGTTCAAGACATTGAATAAGAGATTTCATACTACTCCTAATGCTTCCGTTAGGGAAAAGATAATAGGCGACATAAATCACAATGCTAATTATCTCACTTAGTGCACTACTGTTGGCAGGAACTTTGGGTGGCATTCATCATAGCTAACTTGCATGGCCTACAAATCAGATGCTGAGCCTGTATTAGTCATCTAGGCTCCCTTGCTAGTCATCTAAGAGGGAGAAACATTTCTGAGGCAGCACTTCAGCCCTTCCATCTTAGATTTACATGTAGATGTGTGGTCAGGGAGGCGGTTTAGTGGTGGACTTGTACTGGGTTAAGGGTTGGACTTGATGATCTTGGAAGTCTTTCCAACCTTAATGATTCTGTGATTTCTTACGATGGTTGGAAGTACTACTTCTGCTTTTGTTCGCTTCTCATCAGTGAGATGAAGAGGCCTTTCTGGGCTAGATGCATATTTCCTGTGGGGTTGAAAATAGTGGGGATTAATCCAACTTTCAAATACTACTGTGATGAAGGCAGGATTAAAAACCTCAGTAGAACAGGCTAGTTAAGCTCCATCACTTAGAACACCACTTTGTTTGTGTAGTTTTGTAAGTGATTTTTGGCATCTTTAGTTATTTTTAGTCCAGTTAGGACTTCACTAGATTTCAGCTCTAAAAAACCACTAGGATCGGGTTTGATCTACCACATTCTATGTATCTAGCAAATATGAGGAATTTAAAGTAAGTTCAAGGATACCTTATTTTATATTTTAGACTAAATCTAAGGGGATAAAACTAAGTATTCTTGCATTGTGCCTATAATGTGATGATTTTAAGAAATGGAACTCTAATTATCTTCCATTCAAACCACATTATGCAAGTTAAAGAGAAGATTCTGTTGAATAAATATAAATTAATTACAGTGTTTAACTAGACACTTCATATCCTCCCAAAGAAATGTTCTTAAGATACCACTAAAATTTTTTACAGGCAAAGTTTCAGGAACTAGAAAAGGAAATGAATTCTATTCTGTTAGAAAAAAAGACAACAGAAAAGGAAATACATCTGCAAGATGATGCCATAGAAGTGACAAAATATCACTGTGAAAATCTGGAGGCCCAAGTCAGAGCTCAGTATACTGAAAATTTAAAGCTGAAGTGTGATGCAGAAGCAGTGCAAGAAGAATTTGAGATGATACTTGCAAGAAATAATGAATATCGGGAAAAAATAAAGAATCATAAACATCTCTTTTGGGAGATGGATAATAAAATGCCAGTTATGATTGAGCTTGCTAAAAAGAAGGCTATTGTTGAAGAATTAAAGACAAAGAAAGAGGAGTTAATGCGTGATCTCCAGAATCCAGAAGGATCTGTAATAAAACAAGTACAGGTATTATATTTCCTTTTTTAATTTTTTTTCCTTTTATGTGAAATAATTTTGACATATGGTTATTTTGTCTAATATGTTTATGGTTCATGGGAGATTGACTACATAGAGAATATAGATAATTTATAATGCTACATTAATTAAAGAAATTTTTACTTTGGTATGCAATTAAAAAAATCAGGCATTGTTATCTCTATATTTTTGTAAAAGACAGGTTCATTACGTGTGATCGAATGAACTCAGATATGAAAACAAAATTACAGAGCTTTTTATCATTGGATAAACTTCCGCGGACACTTTTCAGAATTCTGTGAAAGCTTGCCATATTGTTACATTTTTCACGTAAGAACACAGTATTCTTTAAACTTTCCTGTCAACAAACTGCAGTTGAGCTGTTTGCCAAAAGGAGCAGATTTCATGAGATGGTGATAGAAAGAAGAAGAGGGCAAAAAAATATTTGTTTTATTATTTTAGTCTAACACTGTTGTTTTTACTTGACCCTAATTGCAATACTTATTAAGCACTACCACATATGAATTTTTCACCACAAAATTTTGCAGTATATGAAGTTGGAGTATGAAGTTGGAATGGGATCACAGATGTTGTATGAAGTTGGAATGGGATGAAGTATGAAGTTGGAATGAGACCACAGATTTCAAGTCTGATGTAACTTGCATTATTGAAAATCTGGTGTTACTCTATTTATGTAAATGGATGAAAATTTGTTTGTACAACAGACCTTTAAATACTGAGAAATAAAGACTTATTAACACTGTATTTCCCTATGAGAAGGAAAAATATATCTCAAATATTGCATTCAATATTCGTTGCTTTTACAATAAATTACACTTTAAACAAAATAAAGACTGCCAAAATGAGTTCAAAGTCCTATATTGTTGTAGTTTTCATATTTCAGATCAAGAATATATATTCTTACATGTCTAAACTCATGTTATAAAATATTTAATTATTAATTTTAATTAGTCTTCTTAAATTATTATTAATTTAATTATTATTAATAGATTTATTGTGAAATTGTTTATTATAGTTCTTTTTCTAATCTCTATTAGTGGAGTGAGACTGTTAAAATGTGACATTTTTAATAAGCTTAACAGATGTACTGTGCCACATTTCAAGGAGTAGATTTCTGTATCTTAACTTACATCTACAGGAAGAAATTACACTTCTAAAAAGTGAAATCACAACATTGAAAGATTTCATCAATCAAAAAACAGATTTGCTGGAAGAAGAGAAAAAAAAGCATGCTAAGCTTAGAAAAGAAATTGAGGTGAGTCATTTAAATAAAATTTAATTACAGTTCTCCTGACAGAATGTAGATAGTGCAAATGAAGTTTGAAGTACTTTATACATCATTGCTGGCCACACATTGTTCAAGTATATACAGTAATTATGCTATCTTAAACTCTGGGTACTGACACCCCTTCTAAAACTCAGAGCTTTATTCCTGTCTTGAGAAAAATCGAAGTTAAGAACATTTTTTCTGAAGTCTTTTAAGAAGGAATTCAGCTGTGAAATTTTAGAATGATGTCCTGAAAAGAGAGGTCACTGAATGGTAATAAAGCAAAATGCGTCTTTTAAAATTTCTGTAATACTTCTGAAATACTTTAAATTTCACTGCTGATTTGATTATTCATGACTTGTCTCGTGGTTCCTGATGACTCATCAATGGGACAATCAATTGGACGAAGAAAATGGACTTCCCGTGAATCTCTCTAATTTGAACTGACATTAAATTAGGAATAACACAGAAGCTTCTAATTAACTGCCAAGATAAAATTCTGATAAATGGTTAAAACCTTCTCTTTTAAATAATTGAGCTATATTTTAAATTTTGTTTCTTTCTAAAATACTCTGTATGTCTAGATAGTTTTTAGTTTGGAGTTTCACATAATTATTATTGTTAGTTCAAATAAATGCCACAAAATTTAATTAGCAAAGCTTGGTACTATAAAGATGAACTGATCCAAGGTTAGGTTTATTGCCCATTGTAAAATGTAGGAGGAAGAAAGAATCATTTTTCATATGATAGGCAATGGCAGAGAATTTTTGACCTGAAAAGCAAAACACAGCTGCTTTAGAATAGGTCAGTGCTACTCAGCTTCTGAGAAAATATTTTATTACCAAGTTAACATCCTCGTAAGAAAGTTCTCTAAACTCAAAGTGAAATTAGGCAGCCTAAAAATAATGTTCTGTTCTGTTACTGAAATCAATTTAAATAAATAGTGAAGGTTAACCTGTTCTTTGGTTGTTTGGATTATACAATCTTTTTGTCTCAGAAGGAAGCAGGTTCAAAAACTAAATCTTTCAGGATATTATTTTCTACTAAGAACTCTCTTTAAAACAATCCAATTTTTAATATAAAAACTGACAATGGATAAGCAGAGACATTTATACCCAGCAGTCCTCAGCACAACTTGGGAAAGAACATTCAAGTCAAGCATGGGAATAAAGTGAGATACTAGTCACATGGATGAGGTTCCATTGAGCTGCAGTGGTGGAATTCAGCTATAGACTGCTGACAGCTAAATGTGGTTGCTTGAATGCAAGTGACTACACATGAGTTAGGAAAGTTCCCATTATAGTCACTGGAGCTGTGGTTGGTGCAGCTGATATATTCTAGAGATCAATTCAGTCCATAAGCCTACGTGTTTTCAGTAGGATGAATTGCACGGTATGGTCTATCTAGACTTTCTTTCTAGACTGGGTAGAGCAAACTGATCTAGTGAAAGATGTCCCTGGCCATAGCCAGGGGTTCAACGAGATGATCTGTGAAGGTCCCTTCCACCCCAAACTATTCTGTGATTCTATGATTAATAAATTTACAAAGAATATACGAGCTTCCAGGTTTCTGACCCTTCAGATAGAAGCAGGTCATTGCATCTGATCAGTGAGTTTGCTGTTGCTTTAGGATTTCTGGAGCCTTTATTCAGCAATCATTTTAAGCACTCATCCAAATCTACCCGTATACAGCCTTATACTTAAAGACCTATAGAATTCCTATAGATTTCCTGTTGAAGCCTCGTTAATGGCTAAGCTGGTGCTCAAACAGGATGGATTGACTCTCATAGCCCTGGTGCTCCCACTTTGCTTCAGTATTATTTCTGGTTTCCTACAGAGATTTCCCCAGCTAAGCACATGGTGCAGGAATGTAATTCAGAATGCCTTTCTAAAGCAGCTGAATTTTGGAAATTTAAAAATTTTTGATAAAATATCTTTCTGCAAGAAAATTGGTGCCTAAGTGTCCTTTTTTTTTTTTCCCCCCAAGTAAACTCAGTGATCTGACATTGCTAATTAATGAAGTCTACAACTAATTCATACCTGGGATGCCTCTCATCAGTCAGGGTACTGATAGACTCTTAAGGCAGCTTGTGTACCTTTTCTCACTCCCTTTCCTTAGCACCATCCCCACCACCCATCTCTTGAAGAGCAGAGCCTGTTCCCAGTCTTGGATAGGGATGTCAGCAATAAATCAGGGTGGTTACCTGTGTAGGGACAAGACTTCAGTCATAAGGACTAATTCAAGATGTCCACAAATAATAGAAAATTTGTTGCTATGTAAAAATAATAAGAAAAAGAAAGCTCAAAAGGCTGTCTGTGCCCGTACTGCCCTCTTTCCCCTATGTCAGTGTGCAACTACATTATTCTTGCGGATACTTGCCTATCCTGTCCTTAAATGACCCCAGTGGTGGAACATCATGAGTGCCCAGACAATTTTTTCAAAGGGTTGACAAATATGTTCACAAGGACAGTAAAAAGAGCAGTTTTTTCCCTCCCCTCTGTCCCGTAATCATGTTAGTGCTCCCTCCCTCAGCAGATGTGCCAGACAGTTCCCAATAATGATGCTGGGGACACATTTCTAAAAAAAGCAGATAATATTGATCATAGATGTTTCAGTGTCATACAACGTAGTCCTAGTGACGTTCAGATCCCCCAAGCACTCATTCAGATGAGTGAACCTGACAGCATCGCTCGAAAAGTTGTGAACGATTACAGGGAAGAGTAAGGCAATGTGAAGGAAAACAGCCCATCAGCAGTAAAAGGTGGTAGTGTAATTTACAGAACATCAGTGAGGGAGTTCCTTAGCTATATGTAAAATTTAGGCAGCAAGACTCGCAGGAAGTCACTGGCAGTGCTGTAATTCTGATGCAGCTGTACACCATCATGTGTATGTTAGGTACAGCGTAATAACATTTCAATAGGCAGACACAAGGGTAATTATACATGACCACTCATATGCCATTCAAACTATGGTAAGCAAGCCCAAATTTTCATTAAGGGAATACCCGTTATTTCCATTTTTATTATAGTCAATGCTTTTACACTTCAGAATTCAAATCTTCAGAGGGTTGTCTGCAGCAGCCATTGTTCTCCACGTAAGGCAGCAATGAGGGCAAAATTGATACACTACTGCATTGCCACAGTACTGCCTGCTTATGAGAAACGTACCATTTTAAATGCAATGCAACTACAAAGCTCCTGCTACAGCCATCTACATTACTGAATTTGTATTCTCATTTATAACCAAACACACTTGTCAAAGAATGATTTTTTTTTTCTTTCTCACCTCTCATTCTGGAGCCTGAAATCTTCCATGTATGAAGTGTTGCTACTATGTGAGATGTTGACTCTTTGGGTGGGATTTACAATGTTAAATTTTAGACATCTACAGAACAGATACCCATACTGAACTCTTCATTTAAGGTCTTAGTGAGAGAGTTTTTCTTTCCTTATTGGGAAAGTGAGGCATGATTCATATTGTCCTAAAGCAGACTTAGATGAATGGCTTCCTAGATGTCTGTGTCTCTTCAGCAGCAGAAAATAAATGTGTAATGACATGGTCAAATATCAGAATGTACCCTTGGACAGAGTTCAGGGAGCTGAACCCACCTCTGTAAATAGTTTTATTTGAATAAAATTGTGAAGTGAATTTTGTTCTTTTTTTTTAGGTACAGAATAAAAGATATGATGCTATTTTAAAACGTTTGCATTGCCAGCTGAACAAAGTCCATTCAAATAAAAGACAATGGCACTGGAACATTCAGCAGTTGGAGAAGAAGGCAACAGAACTAAGAAAGTGTCTTGGAGTAGTGGACTTACAAAATATAATGTAACAAACATAACAAAGCTAGAATATAGGTAATCTTTTCCAGGCAGGGGAGGCTTTTTTTCTGCAAATACTACAACTCTTAAATAGCATGGTAACTGGGCCAGACCTCATTGATTTCTTTCTTTTTAAATTTTTTTGCACTTTCATTTTCTAGACTAAACTAAAATGGTTTTTTTGTTTGGTTGGGTTTTTTTGGTTTTGGGAGTTTTGTGTTGTTGGTTTTTGGTTTTGTTTTGGGGTTGTTTTGTTTGTTTGGTTTGGGTTTTTTTTTGGTGGGTTTTTTGTTTGTTTGGGGTTTTTTGCTGTTTTTTGTTTGTTTGGTTGGTTGGTTGGTTTGGTTTTTTTGTTTTTGTTTTATTGTCACCAAAGGCCATCCAGGAAAAAAGTTATTGACACTTCTGGGTGTTTTCAAAATATGTGTCAATTTTATCTAAAAAGTTATTTTTTCTAAAAGTCAACCAAACAAGACTTGAGAAGTTCCTTTTTATTTAATTCGGTCTTTGAAGATTGGGATCTACCTTGTTTTCCCTAAAGAGAAATGAATGTCTGTGTATATTTGCGTTTCTGAGAGACCAAAGTTCTAGATCTTTTATCCACACTCCTTTTCATTGCAACTTACTAAGGAGCTCTGGAAGCTCTGATGGCCTGTGTTTGCTGTGTGGGAAATTAATATCGCTGATGTAACAGGCTGTTTGCCCTGTGTCTGCCAGGATGTCCTAGCATGGGGACAAGGAGGACATAGGCTGTTCAGCTATAAAAGGCTTAGGAACAAGTACGCTCAGAACCGGGCTTCAAGTAATCTGACTTTAACTGGTCTAATATATGTTAGCAAAGAGGAAGGAGTAGGTTAATAGGGTACTACATCTGGATAGCTTTTAAAATGGAACAACTCACCCTCAACAGATAGGAATGTGTTATAGATGATTGATTATAGAGGAACTAATTATCTAGAGGAGCTTAACTAACTAGTAGCAGCCATCTAACATCTAAGTGTTTAATATTTGGTAAGATGACTCAACATAAATGACAACCTATTAAAAATTCTTGTTAAAATAGTAGTGAACAGTAGCCATTTTCCTTTGCCTTCTTTTTATTATGTGCTTGGCATTTGCAGAATTTACATACTTTCTCTGCTCTTACACTTAAGGTAGTAGTTCTATTTGGACATAACTTGTAAAATTTATCTCTTTTATGAAAGTAGCTTTTTATTTAAGGTGTTATCTTGAATAGTTTAGATTTATCTTTACTCATTTATATAAAATGAAAACTTAAGCAAGTTGACTATTTACTCTGAAAAATGTTAAACTGCCTATATATTGTTAGCTTAGGAAAGCAAAGCTTAAAATGCAGTACTATTATTACATTCATATATTCATGTATATTTACATTTCCCTTAACATGTTATTTCCCTTTAATATAAAGTTATTTTAAGCAATATCCTTACTCATGAAGGGGCTCTTTCAACACTGTTAGACTCTGAAGGTTTTTTGCCATGATTTTCCTTTGCAATAGTATCAACCAGTCTGCTTTCATTAAAACAATAAAGTAGAAATGAAAACCTCAGTATCGTATGCTATAGTAACAGTATGTCCTGAATATTGAGTCTTATCAAGTATGTAGCATTACTGTAACATCACAACTGTTCATCCCTACACAGCCTAAAATAACATGCACTTGATGCATGTGTATCTTCTAGAAAGGGATCCAAATTTGAAAAAATTAGAGATTTTACTGTTATTTTCAGTGACTAACTGTTCTTCTCTTGTTTTTCATGGTTTCTAATTTCAACTTTTTCAGCCATCCAGTGAAATGAATGTACTTTATATGAAGTAGTTTCTCTCCATAAAAATACTTATGTACTGTCTTCTTGATGAGTTAAATAGTTCAAGTGTTCCAAAGTTATTGACTGTCATATCTGACCAAGAGCTTTAGCTTAATGTATACCCCCAAAAGTGGTAAAACACCTGACGTTTTCAGGGGATTAAGACTATATTCCCTTAATGTGCCTTTTACTACTAATATTATCTAGTTTTCATATTTAATTTCTAATTATTTAAGATCCCCAACAATTAATGCACCAAAATATGTTTTGTATCAGTCACACAAATTACTTCAACCAAATTCACTTTAACATTTATTACCACAGTTATAAAATCACAGTTTAACCTTGCACTTTATTACCAGTTGAAAACAACTCTAGCAAACAGTCCAAACCTTCTCATGTAACAAAAATATCACACCTTGGTTTTTCTTTTTCACCAATGAAGATGTTCATTGTTACTTCCCTGGGTATTAGGGTGGTTTCTATGTATCAACACATACAGCCTGGCTCACTCATATCAAATACCTTGGACTTACATTTTCCTTGTTCCTTTTCAAAAATCTTATTGTTTCAGTATCTCAAATTACTTTTATAGTTCTTTGTACATATTTTGAATTTGTTTAATATAATTTAACAGATATGCATACAAGAGCTGTATTTAATACTCCTGTTAGTGCTCCCTTCTCCTATGGAGAGGCCTACCTATCATTCAAGGCCGAAGTTTTCTCATACTCCTTTTTGCTCATTGCAAGAGAGCTCACCTACTGGGGCCCTTGACCCCTTCATGGGATCTCAGCTAACAAAGGTGTATTCCTCCTTTTTTCTTTGGTGCAAAGCTTTCTTTTTTAATATACATATTTAAATGGACTCAGCTTATCTCAGTTCTGTCTCAAATACTCTGGTAGCTACCAGGGATTCCCGGGTAATAGCTAACTCCATATCAAAAAGATCCCTGGCCATTTGTGATTCAAACTCATCTGTGCGTGCTAGAAAGGAGCTGCTGCATGGTTTAGCTGTATCCCCAAATGAATGGTGGAAGCTTTGGAAATTAAAGCATGCTTCAGCTCCTCAGCTTTCTTGCCACAAAATATAGCTATAGTTCAAGTACTTAATATGTCTTGAATATGTATAACTGTTCTGCTCTCATTTAATTAAGAAATTATGCTAGAAAGAATTTTATCTTTAATCCCATATCAAAGAAAAATACTATTGTTGGTCATCATACAAATGCCTATGGAATTTACTATGAAAAACCCATTCATATGTTGTAGTTTCTTTAACAAATTCTTGGAAATGCTTTATCTAGTCCTTAGTCCATTTGACTTATGCTTTACTGACTATATAGAGTACGAACTTTATAATACAAAGTCCATGATGTTAAAAAGTCTGTTTCTTTTTCTGAAATTATTTGTTATAAGATATGAATGCTGACTGTTATTGTCATCCTGCATCACTGTCCTAGTTAATTGCCACAATTATAATCTCTTATTCCACATAAACACACCATTTGTGTGTTTAACTCAACTGCCTTAAACACCTGAGTTGATTCATTTCTAATCTTGGAAGCTTTGTCCTGAGTTCCCACCAAACTTCTACTTTAGTCATTAGATCAAATACATTTTGCACACTTCCAATAAACAGAAGTTCGTATCACACAGTACTTACATATTTTCCCAGGTGCAGCATTTCACATTTAACATTCAGTATTTAACAGATAATAAATATAAGAAACATTTTACTACGGAATGGCAGTTAATTGGGAGAAAACCTATCTTGAAAAAAAAGTCAGCTGAAATGAGGAAATATAAAAAACTACCTTCTCTAAACTATCAGCATTCTGTGCAATGTACAAAAAAAAAAGAAACGCATGTAGCTTTTAAGAAAAGTGCCTAATTGCAGCAAATCCTGGCAACCCGCTGAGGCCATTTTTCTTCATATAGTGTTAACCACTAGCAGGTTGATCTCAGGGCATTTTTTTCCCTTAGCAAGCAAGCAAGCACGGACAGTAGGAGAATGATTTATTAATTCTGGGAAATAACTTAGTGAATGTACTTCGTATTGTTATTACATGAAGCTTTCCCAGCTCCTGTTGGAGAACCGTGCTGCCAAATCCATATAAGTAATTTCTGAGGATGGGTGTGGAGCGAAGGGAAGAATTTTTGTCTTCAGTACTCTGCAGGCAACAGCAAGAGGAGTGATTGCCCACTCTGAAAAGCAAAACAGACACCAAGCAGGGACAGGCATGTAAATAACTGAGAGTGTAGGAAAACTTATCAACCAACAACTCCTATCCACCACTTAGCAAAAATCTGAAGCACAGGAAACTGGATTTATTCCAACAATATAATGTAGTGAAAAGGAAAATACTGGGGGAACTCCACACTTGACAGGGAAACAATCATTCTTGTCATGCAGCAAATGCACTGGTGTATGATAAAGGGAAGGATTTCCCCATGTTTTAAGCTGATGCTCCACAGGAAACCCTTTCAGTGACTCAACAACCTCAGGCGCTGAAGCAGAGGAAATGTGTCAGATAATGCAGACATACCTGCTAAGATCGCTGCTCTCACCAAGACTACATGAGATAGACAACAGAAGAGGGAAGGTGGGTTAGAGTTAGATGCCAGTGCTGTGCTGCTTTGCTTCTCTTGCAGTTTGCTTTGGCCCTCAGGAGAGTCACTTGCAGAGAGCTGTGTGCATGAGTGTGGCAGTAAGTAGTGCATGCTCTTCTACTATAGTTCTTACGCAATGCTTCAGAGGAAGATGAAATCATGACCACTCTATGCATTGATGGTACATCATGCTGCTGAAGGTGGGGAAAATCCCAACTTTCAGAACTCGTACCTGATTTTCTGAAATGGATGAATATATCTTTACCAAAGTAATTATTAGATCCTTTGTTAAAATGAGTCTGTAGTATGTAGGTCTGAGTCATGTGGAGGCAGTGACTTCTTGCAGAATTCCAAGCAGTACTGAAATATTTTTCTTTTAATTGTCTGCTTTGCAGGAGGCAAATGCTTTTTCAGGGACACGGTTAAGGCAATGCAATGAACCACCTCAGAAACATGGATTGAGCAAAACCAATTCACAGCATCTTTAAAGTACCACACTCAACTATTTCATTTGGCTTTTTCTAGCATTTAGAGGAAGCAACACGTAATGACCTAAAAAAATGAAGAAAAACCTTAACCACAAACTGCAAAGGGCAAACCAAGATAAACAAAAATATCTCTACCCTCCCTACCCCTGAAAAGAAATTGAACTGCACATGCCCCATCTGGATGAAAGGGAACCATCCAGAGGGACCTGGACAAGCTTGAGCAGTGGGCCCATGGGAACCTCATGATGCTCAGCAAGATCAGGTGCAAGGTGCTACACCTGTGTTGGGGTAACTATGGATATTAATGCA